TATATACATGGATGTATTTGCAGCACATACAAATACATATGTAGAAATATCCTCTGCCAAACCTGTTTGGTGGCGTAGTGCTTAAGGCATCTGATTGCTAACTAGAAGGCCGGCAGTTCAAACCCATCAGCCACTCCTCGGAAGGATGGTTGTACAATCTACTTCTGTAGGGATACCTCCTCGGAAACCCATGGAGGGGTTGCTATGAGTCATATTTGACTTGAAGGCAGTGAGTTTGATTGTTTTGTTTTGTTTTTTAAACCTATTTATATGTGTGGATGTAATCCTGTTCACCTTCCCACATCTGTGCAGCTTGCATTTCTATCTATGTATCCACTTGTAGATAATTGTTATTACTGTTATTGTAGGACTGTGTATGTGATAGTATTTACCTTTGTTGGCTTTACCTCTTAAGCATCTTCCAGTATCTACCTTTACCAATGTCATACTGTGCTGACCTCCCGTTATTGTATATTCCCTTTCCATTCACCCAAGTTCATATGTTTGACTGACTTTTTCATGCTACTTTGAAGGCTTCAAAGCCTTAGGATGATTATTCTGGAACACATGTAAGATGACTTAGAAATGGGAAGAGCAGGAGTAAGCTCTCGCTGCATAGTCCAGGTGAGACGTAACAAGACCATGGGTAACAAGCCGTATGGGGATGATACTGCAAAATAGCAAGTAGGCATGGCAGCAAATTAGAAATGGTGTAGCACAGAGAAAGAGGCATGAAGGATAACAGAATCCTCATAGTTGCTAGTCTTTTATCTTTTTTTTTTAATGGCACTAAATAGTTAAATAAATAATGTATACTTTTTTTCTGATAGTGGCTCCATGGATACCCCCCTCTTTTTTCCTTTCTCTAATTTCTATCCGGTTACCTAGTCTAGCTTCCATTCACCTTTGGGATTCAGCCCAGGCCTCAGTTTTTTTCCCAGGATGCATTGCATGATCTCAGGTGGAGCAGTGTGCCCCTCACTATGCTCACCCTTTATCTTTTTCACAGCATGACATGGTTTTACAGATCTGTATCACCTGTCAAACCGTGAGCTCCTTGAGGGCAGGAAGCACATCTCTTACTTGTTTCCAGCACCTGCATGGGCTCTGTCACATACTTGTTTTGTTAGTAAAAATGCTGGCGCTTAATCAGTTAAAATCCAAATACATGCTATATGAGAATAATCTTTGATATTTGAGAATGATGGAAGCCTAAAAATGGTATGAAATTGAGCCTATATTTCCTCAATTTTATGTTCTTTCTTCAAAAGTCAATGAAATACTAGCTTTTTATTGCAAGTGGCCCTCTAACTGACCATAAAAAACAAGAATTCCATTTTTCAAGGGCTGACCTGGAAATTTCTCTCTCATGAAAAAAAAAAACTAAATACAAGATAGGAGCTCTGGTAGCATAGCGGCTAAGACACTTGCCTGCTAACCAGACGGCTGGCGGTTCAAACCCACCAGCCACTCCTCGGAAGGAAGGTTGGGCAATCCTACTTCTGTAGTGATACTGCCTCGGAAACCCAAGGAGGGGTCACTATGAGTCGGGTTTGACTCGACGGCACATAACAACAACAACAACAAATACAAGATGCCCTATGGCATGATTATCTTGACTGCAGAGATAGAAAAACTGAAGACTATTTGATATTCTTTCAGGGGCGGGAGTAGGGGAACAATTTCCCGAGCATACATTTCTTTTCATACTCAGAGTTCTTTTTGTTGCTCCGAGAGCTAAGAAAATTACACTTGGAGAATTGGGCTTTAGAATTCTGTGTTAAGGGTCATAGAATGAAGGAAGAACATATAATTGCAAAACAAATTTCTGACATGTTGAGTAAGATAGTTTCTTAGAGGACTTGTTTTTAAGTTCTCTGGATAAAAAGAAAGGAAAACTAGTATTTGAAGTATTTATTCTTGACTTTGAGCAAGAAAGTGTATTTGTTCCATTCTACAAGTAGCTTTTTGATAGCCCAATGATACGACTTTGAATTCCTAAGTTCTTTAATGGAAGATTAAAGGAAAGCATGTGATCCTCTTAATTACTGTTTTTTGTGATTGACAAGACATTTTACACAAGACATTAATTCCCTGGGGTCATAAAAGAGAATTTAATCTTACCTTTCATTTCCTAGGACTAAACGAATTCCTGAAACAATCAAGAAAAAAGACCCAGTTCCTTAAGCCTAAACTGCAGGAAAGAAAATAATAGATAAGGTTGCATGTCATGGATAGCCTCTTCTGATTGGATAAGGAGGATTCACACTGTTTTGAGCCATGCTTGGATTTATGTTTTAGACAAAGTAAGTCTTCTGGAGGCAGTATGGAAGATGAGAAGAAAACAGTCACTGAAGTTGCCCAGGATCATGGCAGGACCTGGAAAGAAAGACCTAAGTGTAGACATTTTCACAAAGTGAGGGAGTGAATAGAGCACATGGTAGATGTCATGAGAGGTAGATGAAAGAGTTTAGTCTGGCAAAGCATTGGTGGGCCAGTTGAATTCTGACCCCATGTCCCAACTCTGTGACAGGCAAGATATGGAAAGAATTAGCTGTTTCTACTTGAGAAAAATTCAGCAAAATGACAACCTTGTGGGGGAGCCAGGTTTTAGTAAAGTAAGATGTGAATGATGCAGTCAGTGAATAGGTTGTTGCCACAGAGGACTTTACCATGCCACAGAGTGTAAAAGATAGGTGTCAGCTGATATTTCTCAAAGCCTTTTTTCCTCTTACTGTATCTCCATCTTTGAGATTGATTTATTCATTGAAGAAAATGTATTGAGCACCTATTATGTGCCAGGTATAGTGCTGGATATTAGGGTGTACAGTGTTGAGTACCTACATTCCCAAAATACGAACAGAACATGTGGTAATTGCATATTAGAGTTGGGATGTAGCTCAGAGAATAGGTAGTTGTGATATAACTGAGACTAGGTAGATTTTTTAAGGCTGTTTTAGAGCCTTTGCTTAGAACTTAGCCTATTATATTAAAGAAAGAAAATGGGTCAACAATAGCAATCTATTCTTTGATATCAGAGTCTCCTATTAGAGTAGAATGTAAATGCAAGATGAGATCCCTACAGTAGCAAGGGTGCTTTCACTGTCCAGATCATTCTAATCTGTTGAACCTAGAGTGGTGCATATAAGTACTGAGTAATTTTGTTCAGCAACCCTCATTTCTTTAGCATAGTCTTAACAAGTGCCTATGATGTGCTAACACTGTGCAACATGTTAGGGTATAACAGAACACAAGATAGAAAGGGTCTTTGGTCCTATGGAATTTATTTTCTATAAAAACAGTCTTTGTTGACAACTTACTCTTTGCCAGTTACTGTATTAATTGTTTCATATAGATCACCTATAAACCTCTGACGTTCTCACTAGGATAATGCCCAGTTTTACAAATGAGGACGTCAGTAATTAGTGAAGTTAACTGGAAGTAGTTGACCTCAGCTTACCAAATGGGTTCACTAAAGGCTACTGTCAAAATATTATGTTAGGTTTTAACATGGGAGTAGAAAAGAAATGAAGCCAGGTTTTTGGGGCTTATACTTTATTGTATCACAAAGTTAACTCTAAAAAACTCCAATAGAAAAATGAATAAAAGAACAGTTTATATTTCTGAAAGCTCAAATAGCTAATAAATGAAAAAATTCCATTTCCCTTGCAAATAAAAAAATGAAACTTAAAATAATGAGATGATTTTTACCTATCAAAGTATATTTTTGATTAATAATATTGAGTGTATGAGTGAAATGGGCTTTGTTAAATACTGCTATTAGAAGCATATGTTTTGAATACTCTTTCTGGAAGACAGGCAGTCTTTATCAAGAATTTTAAATGTTTTTTTACCCTCTAACCTAGCAATTAATTTCTAGGTATTTAATCTAACAGAAACTCAGAGTACATTTTTTCCAAAACTGTTTATTACATCATTGTTTATATTAGGAAAAATGTGAAAATAATTCACATGTGCTACACAATTGAATAAATTAAGGCCAATTTGTATAATATTATACAACTATTAAAATGTTATTTTGAGTTCACTTGATATTAAAAATGTTCTCAGTAAATATTTGGGGGAAAAAAAAAAGAATGTGAAGTTCTATATGTAATGTCCCAACTATATAAAACATACTAGGGGTGTGTGTGTGTGTGTGTGTGTGTAAAACCAATTCATTGTCACTGAGTCATATCTAACTCATAGCGACCCTTCATTGGGTTTCCAAGATGGTATCACTATGGAAGTACGTTGCCGAACCTTCCTTCCAAGGAGTAGCTGCTGGGTTTGAACCACCAGCCTTCTGGTTAGCAGTCAAATGCCTTAGATACTACACCACCAGACCTGCTATATCAATTCAGAATATATTAAAAAAGAAAGGGAAGAAAAATATCAGCAATGGTTATTTCTGGGTAGTCACATACAGTGATCTGTATTGTAATTAAATATATTTTCTAAATTCTCTAAAATGAACCTATTTTTTTGCATATAAAAAATAATAGTTTCATTCTTGTTTACACTGTTTGACCCCCATGTCTAAGATGGAAATTGAGGCAGATAGAGGCTGTCAAGAAGTGATTTCATTCCAATTTTCAGAACTATTTTTAAAGAACTAGAAAGTATTTTTTTTTCCTTGATTAAAATAACATAAAAGCAAACTCCAAACTAAACTCACTGCTGACGAGTCAATTCGATTCATAGTGACCTCTCCTTGGGTTTCCAAGGCGGTATCTCTAGGGAAGTAGATTGGCCAGTCTACCTTCCGAGGAGTGGCTGGTGGGTTTGAACTGCCATCCTTCTGGTTAGCAGTCAGATTCCTCAGGCACTATACACCAGAGCTCCCTCATGAAAGCAAGAAGCATATTTCTTTGTTTTATTGTATATTTATAAGGCCAATAGGGGACAATGTGAAGTTTATGTAATTTATCAGTGCTAGGTGTATTTTAGTTATTCAATTTCCAAATACAGATATAACAATAGCACTTATTTCTTTACAGGTTTTACAACTGCCTACGACATGCTTTAGAAAGAGAAACTGTTCCTAACTCACATCCCAAGATCAAAGAGAAAAGCAATCCATCATATACTCATAAGAAAAAAAGAAACCCAGAGAAAGCACATGGTAAATGTATTACTGAAGAAAACAATAAAGAACCTGAAAGTGATGATGATGATCCAGGAATCAGTGTTAATATCTTCCCTCAAGATTATTAAGATCTGCTTCTGAAGTATCTTAATGGAATAATGTTCCTAGTAGATATTATAAAGCTACTCTTTATAAGAGTATTTTAGTTGGTTGAGTTAATCAGTTATTAATAGATGTCCCTGGATGGGGCACCTAATCCCCTCAGCTGAACCAGAAGGTTGGTGCTTCCTGTCTGTCCAGAAGCACCTTGGAAAACAGGCCAACAATCTACTTCTGAAAGGTCACAGCCTTAAAAACCATACTTTGCTACTTGGGATCGTCGTATCTAATCAGCTCAATGACAACTAACAACACATCAGTCATTCATAAAAGCAAGATTTAATTTCTTGGTAGGGAGAAAACCATCTTTTAAACAGGTTTTTTAAAATAGCTTTATCTAATGTTTGTTCATTATGATACCTTTTTTGGTCTCAGATTCATTGCAAAAAATAAAATTTTTTTCAATGCTGTTCTCCTTTTTTAAAAAATAAATTTCTGTTTCTCTAATGGGAAAATGAAGTGTATAATATCCTTTCAAGAGAACCATAACAGCCAGGAGATTTAAGTAAAACCATCATAGTAATAATATTTAACTTATTTTTAACGTTGAAACCACCAGCTTTTAAGGGAGATCAGAGTTTGCTGCTGCCTGCCAATGACAAATTTTTCTTGCCCTTTTGACCTTGTGGAAAGTCTGTAGATGGCACACACAGTTTGCACATGACTGTTAAAGTTGGCAGTTCTAGGCTACCCAGCAGCACTGCAGATGAAAGGCCAGGCAACCTGTGTCTGTAAAAATTACATCTAAGAAAACGCTACATAGCAATTCTACTCTGTGCACCTGGGGCACCATGAATCAGAATGGACAGCAATGGGTTTGGTGTTTTGGTTGACTATGAACAAAATGACCTTTTTTGTTCTGGACAAAATACCTTAACCCTCATCCCCCATTTTTTCTCACAAACCAAGACTTTGCCACTGGCACAGTCTCAGTTAAAATAGGTGAGCATAGATTTTCACTAAGCCTGATCACAAGTGATAACTAAGACATAGGAATCTTAATAGAACAAATAATGCTGTGGAAAATTAGGAATCAGAAGACTTAGGTTTGAGTTGTGACTGCTAAAATAAGTTGGAGGTCCTTGAGCAAATCACTTAATTTCTAAGTGCTTCCATTTCCTCTCCTGTATAATGGTAATTCTAATGCCTGGCCTAATTACACACAGGAGTGTTGACAGGAGCAAGTTAAAAATGTGAAGGCATTTCCTAGAATGCATTATTATGCCTATATGTTACTATTTACTTTTCCATTCATTTTCATCATGAAATGAGTATACTTTTATATTGTATTTTCAGAATGTACCTGTTCGGATTACCTAGTGCAGCTCTTGACAAGAATATACAACAAATGGGATGGCTTGAACAAACAGGAGTTAATTCTCCTACAGTTCAGGAGGCTAGAAGTCTTGAGTTCAAAAGTGCCAGGCTCTAGGGGCTGGGTGAAAGCCCCTCAACCTTGGGCTTCAGCTCTGCCTCCAGCTTCCGGCCCACTGAAACTAGAGGCTTTTCTTCACTCAGACAGCTACTGGCTGCTGAGGCTGACAAACCCAAGGTTAACAAGTAAATAGGCACAGTCCAGGTGTTACCAATTCACACAGCAGACCATTCAAGTCCATTGAAAGTTCCAAGGTTGGCAGATCATGGCAGGCTGCTGAACAACATGACCACATGCAGGGTTCAAGCGTGCCATAAACTAGACAACACTCTCCAAACTATTTCTTATATATGGGAAGCAGGCCACATCCCTAAAGCAGCTACTCAGCTGCTTGTGGTAGGTCCCACCATGAAGTTGATTGCCAGTCTCATGATGGGGAATAACTACCACCAGCTGTCCAGCCAGTGAACCAGGCCCAGCCAAGTTGACACACAAACTTAACTGTCACAGTACCCAATAATAAGAAGTGAATATTTAAAGGGAAATTACTCTGAGTCATGTCGTTAGGTGCTGTCAAGTTGTTTCTGACTCAGAGTGACCCTATGTAAAACAAAAAAAAATAATATGCTTGGTTCTGAGCCAACCCCACAATTGTTGCTATGCTTGAGCCCACCCATTGTTGCACTGTGTTAATCCATCTTGAGGGTTTTCCTCCCTTTCACTCACCCTCTACTTTACCAAGCATGATGTCCTTTTCCAAGGACTGGTTCTCCTGATAGTAGGTCTGAAATAAACCAAAAAAGTCTCTCCATCCTCACACCTAAGTAGCATTGGCTATACTTCTTACAAGACACTTGTTCATTCTTCTGGCAGTTCCCAATATAAAGGTTGGGCAATCTACCACAGTGATACTGCCTCGGAAACCCAAGGAGGTTCGCTGTGAGTTGGGTTTGACTCGACGGCACATAACAACAACAACAACCCTGAATTAAAATACATCAGTTCTTCAGTCTTCCTTATAGTCATATACTAATAAAAGATTGAAAAAATACCAGAGTATAAAATAAGAAAAATTATGTATGATAGTAAACATTGAGTTGTGATTTTAGCATTTCTGTTTTTTAAATTTGTCTAAATCTTTATAAAATTGATATGTTTATATTTGAATTCTAGAGGCTTGCCTTCTGATAGATGTAGTTTTATACTCTTTTAAAATACATTGACTTTATAGGCATCTGTTTTCTGAAATCATCAGAGATGGTCTGCAACCAAATTTAAAGTTAGGTAAAAGGGTTTTCTTCACTGCTCCCAGCTCTGAACTGCTCTATTCTTATGGCCTATAAAATAAGAGACTAATATTTACTTACCTAATTTGATATTCCCAGAACATTTAGAAAGCGTCAAATAGTTCTCCATTTCATTGTTTGAAAAAGAATCCCCTTTGAGTTCCCAGTCTCCTTGCCATCCTGCAGCATTTGGCTGTATTGTCCAGTGTTGCACCCATGAATCTGTCCTTTCATGGGCTTCCTGAATGCTTCTGAGTTGTTTCACTGTTTTTGACAAACGCTTTTTTGTTCTTTTTCTCTCCAACCCTTATCCGTCTTCAATGTTTATCTTCAGAACTTTCAAAAACTACTGAGATTATACAGGGAGAACTACTAGTTGTGTATACATTCTTAAAGGTTCCAAGTCACATTGTAATAACCACTATAAGCATGCCCAAGTTTCTATCTTTGGTCCTTGTTATGGATTGAATTGTGTCTCCCAATAAGATATGTTCATGCCCTGACCCCTGGGACTTATGAACATGACCTTGTTTGGAAGTAGACTTGTAAGATATTGTCATTAACTTGAGGCCATACGAGAGTAGGGTGGGTTCTAATCCAGTGTAACTGGTGTCCTCATAAAAGAGGAGGAGACACAGAAGAAAGGTAGCTATGTGAAGATGGAGGCAGAAATTGTGGAAGGCAGAACTAGAAACCAATTGCCAGGAGCCACTAGAAACTAGGAGAGCAGCATGGAACAGGTGCTCCCTGAGAGCCCTCAATGAATCAGCAGCTGAAACTCTGATTTCAGACTCCCAGCCTCTAGAACTGTGAAAGACAATATTTCATTCTTATAAACCATCCACTTTGTGCTACTTTGTGATGGCAGCCCTAGTAAACCAGTTACAGCCCCCATCTCATTCCTTCCTTCACCCGAGCCACCTCATCCATTCTAATACTCTTAACTCTTAAGACAGTGACTCCCAGCTCTCTTGTCCTGACCTGTCTCCCAAGCTAACTGCTGGATGGCCTCATAGGCTGTTGTTTTCAAAGTTTTCTTACTCATTAGACTGTCCCTTTTCTGGTCATTTGACTAGAAAGAGCAAGCTTTGTTGGAGTTGTTTGTTTGAGCCCAGTGGCATTTCTGGGCCACCAGGTTGGCCAGTTCTCAGTCTGGAATATGTGAAAGTAAAAAAGAAAAGTCCGTAAACTCACCACTAAGTTGTTCTTTATATGCCAAGATCTCTAGCCAGTTTGCCTTCTCTCTACCTTTCAGCATCTCCTTATGTTTGTTTTATATATAATGCCCACTGTTTTTAGTCATACTTGTCAAAGGAATAAAGGAAAATTATATCCATTCCATCTTTCCTGAATTAGAAGTCTAATGTATTTTTAAAATTACTGTTACTATCAAATAACAGGCATATTATTAGAGGTGCCTTTGGATCCTATCTCTCAGTGCTGTGCTCCATGCCCCAGTTGTGTGCTTTGCTGCTAATCTTTTAGGTTACCAAGTTTCTCCACCATGAAAGAGAGAAGAGCCTGAAAGTCTGTTTCCTGGCTCCTTCCCACACACTCCATTGTCTCAGCCAATAATGACTGGTGCAGAGCTACAAAAAACAACTCCTTTGTCCAGAAATGGGATGCACTTGGATTTGCATTTGACATTTAAGCCCCCAGCAGGATCATACTGAGGCTGGGACTTCACCTGAAATCCTATCTTATTTTCCCAGCTCCCTTCCTGGTTTTTCCAGGGAGCACCTGCTTAACACATCACTTGCACCAGAGTGGGATCTGCTTCTGCAAAAATCTGATTTAAGACATGCATTTAGATGTTTTGGATACATACTGAAAAATTATGTCAGATTTATTTTAAAGAGTTAATATTTATAATATACTACAAGCTGTATCATTGGTAGTGATTTAAACTTATGCAAATCTATGATGCAACATAAATTTGTGGTAAGTACATAGTTTTAAAAAATTAGGGAGTATATAACAATTTTGAAAAACATTTCTATAAGGTATACTATAATGGGAAACTAGAGGGAAGAAGAATTGATTTTAGGTGAGGCAATACTAGAAGTCCATTGCAAGGAGATATTTTGTTTGTATCTTAAAAGAAGAGAGATAAGTTCACCTGGCAAAATCCAAGAAAGTTTATTGCAAACAGGGGGAATGTGTAATGCAATCAAATCACCAAAGAGCATGGCATACGCAATAATAGTGAATAGTCTAGAGAAGCTAACGCTCAGCATGTGAAATGAAATGAGGCAAAAAAAAAAAAAAAAAAAACCTGGTTGAAATCTGATTGTGAAACGCTTTGTATGCCAGCGTGGGGTAGACCAGTATTTCCCAAACATGGCTGCATATCAGAATCCTGGGGGATTCTGACCTTGATGGAGCACGGGATCAAGGGGAGAAGGAGCAGGA